GTTAATTATTTAAAAATAACGATATGTTTTTCAAAACTCTATTGAGACTATATTAATTGACCTATACTTGTATTATAATTTTAAATAGTTAAATATAATGTATTATTATTATCTACTTGTATTATAATTTATAATAATAAAAATATTTGTATATGATAAGAATATGAAAGATTTGTACATGGTTCTTAAATTGACGGAAACGTCTTTCACAAAAATATATTCGCTGTATACCTATATTGTTCTACCTAGAGAGCTCATATATATATATATATATATATCTAGGCTCTCTAGTTCTACCTATTCGCATTATTTACAAATGTCATTGTTATTACCTACATTTTACATTATTATTTTATTTTATATATACCACAACATATATATTGCTTAAAAATTATGACCATTGGTTTCCAAACTTTTTTGCGGAAATGTCTTTTGGCGGAAACGGGAATCGTACCTTTTTCGTTTTTGGCGGAAAAGGGCTATGCCTAAATCAGGGGACCGGTTTTTTGGCGGAAACGGGACGCCCATTCCGACTTCCTCCGTCGATTAAACCGTGGCTCTATCGCGGTATGATTCATACTACCTACACCACGGAGGCAATAATGTAATGATCGCTCCGCACTCGTGTTTGAATATTACATGAAAATACCGTTGTTTTTATTGCCCAGCCACAGTAGCATTACTGTAATCGGTTAGGTACCGATTATTATTTTCCATAGTGTTTTCTACACCGTATCATTACGGGTGTGTGAAACAATAGGTAGGTAACTAAAATATATCGATGACGGCTTTTGATTTCTGAACCCTCCCTTCTCAAAAAAAAAAAATGTTCGCAGGATATATAAAATAGTAATCATTGTGATTTGTGTTTATTGTTTAGCCATAAAGGACTAAGGGATTTCTATTATAGACTATAATAGTTTAACAGTATGAAATGTCTGTGATACGGCTATACAACTATACAAGTAGTTATTAAATAAACTGAAAAAAGTTTGATAGATTAACTCAGATTGTTAATCATTTAAATCATTATAATACAAATTACAAGTACATAACTAGAGCAAGGACTTTCATGCATTCTCATATTTTTTCTGGTTTACTTTTTCGTATGCAGAGTAAGAACACAGTACATTTCACAACGTAAATCCTTAAGTTTTTAGTGCATATTTTTGCATATTTAGACATTTTTGGGTTTAAAGGACATATTTTTTGTTGATTATAAAAGCATATTTTTAGTTTGTAGTGCATATTTTGAAGGTTTTTCGAAAATCATATTTTTCAATTAATATTTTTCACGGTTAAGGACACAAATTATTATATTTAACTTTTTATATTCTCATTAAGACGAAAGAGACTCATTTTATCATAGTTGAAATTAGATTACAATAAAGTGATATCAAATTCAGTTAAAACTTATAGAGAGATAATGTAAAGTTATCAAAATTAAACATTTAAAGAAAAAATATAATTTTTAGAGCTATAAATTTTAATGTATTAATTTTTTTGAGGGCATAAGTGCATATTTGATGATTTTTTAGTGCATGAAAGTCCTTGTTCTATACATAACCATTTACTATATATTCTACTATTACGTTATATATATATATTACATATAACATAATAATAATATATACGTATAAAATTATTTAAAATAAAAATATTTGACAAATCGCAAATTATTTTGTTAAGTTTTCTATATAATTGATTTTATTTAATTGGTGTAAAGAATGACTTTAGAAATTATAATTTTTTACCAAATGTTTATGTTAATGTTTCTTATGCATAGTACCTATAAATAATGTTCATAATACTTATTATTAAACACTTTTGAGCTATTCATAGACATTTAAAAAAAATTTTAGTTGTTTTGTTTTAAATGCCGATAAAAAAAAAAAATTATCACTTGATAAATATGATTGTAAATTTAATACGAAGTTCCTAATAAGTGATAAATTTACTGCCTAAGAAACCAAAAAAAAAACCCCGAAAATTTATATTATGTTATACATTAGTTGAAAGTAATGTTGGAGAAAACAGACGGAAAAAGATAGAAAATAGTTCAATTAACAATTAAAAAAAAAAAATGTTTATCCTGTGTCCGTGTCCTTATGAGCTTGCTATACTATGACAGATTATCATTATTGTACGTAATTTTCTTTTCATTTTACTATACATTCAATACAACTACTAAGAATAAGATCAATGATCGTGATTCGTGATACAGAAACACACACACAAACAAATGAATAACGACATGTTATCAAAGCATGATTTTTTAAGATCATAATTCAGTTCAAGGTTTCAGTGATAGCGGTTATTTAGCGGTTATTGTTTAATTGCTGTTGGTTTAACTTTTAATTATAAACCGTAATAATAAAATAGACGTATATACTCATAAGTCATAACAAATTTATAAAATAATACGATTAACGAAAAATAAAAAAAAAAATACAAGTCGCCTGTAAAAAAGGCAATTTTTATTAGTTATCTAGTAATTATTACATAGACATATAAAAACACTTAATATATTGTACAAAATTAAAAATATTGAATATTTTTTTAAAATAATTTGCAGTATGTCAATATTTGAATAAATTATACAAATTAATTAAATAAAAAAATTATCAAATAAATTAATTCAATAATTAAGTTTCCAATATGTAATCATCAATTTGGTCATTATAATTAAAGCTTAAAGCCTTTAAATATTTTTTTTGTGTTTCTATTTTGAATCAAGTACTTATTTTGTTTTTCCGATTTCGATATTCATTTTGGTTTTACCGTTATTCAAAACAGGAATTTAACTCACTTTAACCAAACCGGTATTGAAAACTTGAAGAGAAATACGTGTCACTACAGACAATTGTATTTTAAAAACCAATAAAAATTCAAGATTTAGATAAAAAACTTGAGTTTTTAGAATATTTAATTACAAAATAATTATAAATGTTTGTAGCTTTGCCAAATTGTTCAACAATAGAACTTCAAACGCTTATCATAAAAAAATTATACCTATGCATTTTAAATATTTTTAATTTTTAAAAAAACAATTTATGTAGAATCTTAAAGTTAATTTAAAATATTTTTGAATAAGTCTAAATCATTTTATTAGTATTTTAAAATACTTAACAGCTTAAATTGAATATTTCAATGTGATTAAAAAATAATAATTTAAATAAGAGCAGAATGTTTCAAGTTTCTACGAGAAACTTACAATAAAAAAATAACTAAAATCGTTTAACGAGAATGAAAAATTGTTTTATTTTTCACATGAAAAGTGGGTATTTTAACTAATATATACTGAGTGAAAAAAATATCACCCAGAGAAAAATGTTTGTCACCTAGTAAACGATATATTTAATTACTGGGCGAAATGATATTTTGTAAAAATGACGATGTTTGAAATTACTATACAATTTATAGGTATGTTGAATTATGTTATTTATTTATAAATATATTTTTTCGTTTGATAATATAAATTTGGAAGTACAAATAATTATTGATATTTTTTACAAGGGAAACCCAATGTGTCCATTCACCGAAGGTATTCATTACTCATAAAATATAAATATATAATACAATGTGCAAGATAGCAATTTATTTCACGCGGCAATGCGAAATATTTCAGGTCGTCAATCGTTTCAACAAATATTAATAAATTATTTTCGATTTTATTTTAGTCCTAATTCTTACAAACTATTGGCTAAATATCTATTTCACTTTGAACCTTTAAACTTCAATGTTCAACACATACGACGACTGTCTTCTTTCGTTAAGTATAAAATAACTTAAAATCTATATTTTATGCTTACACAGAGTTTTCTCAATAATTTTAATATATTAAAAATTATAATAATACTGTTTGAAAATATACTTTCATCATATAATCAGGGGCTAAGCTTTTTTTATCTGATGACCTTTTATTTTTTTTAGGTAAACCACCGATGTGTAAAAATTGATTAGCTCCCCCCCACTCCGACAATTTTTTTTAGGGAAAAAAAAAGCGGCAATAGATTTTTGTTCTTAGGGCGTCAAAATCATAAAAACGCTTATGAATATAATACATATAGTACTTAACAATTACGTATTTACATATTATTCTAATATTAATATTTACTGACAGGCGACAATTTATTTTTGACGATCAGTAGAAGCTGGCTACAGTATATTAGACATATAGACTATAGTATCCGGTAGGTATATAGTTACCCATGTCATGATAATATAAATATTTAATTACGAGTATATATTGCACTTCGGAATATTAATATTATAAACAACAATCTAGAACGGGGACATCAACAACTATCCCACGTAAATAATCTGTAATTTGTAGACCACAGTGGCACAGTGTATCTCAACCTTTGTGTCGTATCATCACTCATCACACTATGAAGATATTTCATACTTTGTGACACACAATAAACTAGTAAGAATAATGGAAGATAGGTATTTAATTTTTAATTCTTTAATCTATTTTAAAGTATTGTTTTTTTTTTACTTATATAATATGTATAAAGTATACTGTACCTATCTATGTCTGTATGTCATTAACGATTGACTTCATTTTTGTAATTGAAAAGAATAAATTTAACTCATTAACTGTTAATTTTGTATTTGCTCATGTGTTGTGAGTTTTGAAGGTATTGTTAGATGCAGGTAAAGTTTTGTATATTTAATTCTAAAAAGTTTTTTTAGGTTTTTATGTTGATTTTGAATACGACGAGTAGGTAGTGTGAAAATTTTTTTTTTGTGTCACCCTGTGAATTGGCTTTGATAATTTCTTAAAATATCCACTGTGACATAAATATCCAATTTCGTTTAAATTTAAACTTCAAACGCTCGTAAAAAATATTTATGGAATTGTACTCAATTTTTATTTATTTTCTCAATAATAACAACTTGATATGGAGTACCGTGTATTAGATTTTCAAATATTATGAATCAATAAAAAGATTTTTAACTAGGTATCTTAAAATAATTTACAAATTTTTACGATTTTGATCATAAACGTTTTCTTATTGAATATCGAATATCGTGTCGAATAACATGTCTCTTCCTTGCCCCCCATATGAGCGCCCTTGGACCGTTATATCCTGTGCTTGGATACACGTTTATAAGTAGTAATAGTTTGCTTCTTCGTTTATTTACTTTAAAGATTAGGTAATGATAATAAATAATAATATTATCGACAATATTTTTCATAAACTTGAACAGTGTAGAGGTCACTACTATAAAAAAAATAGTAGTTTGCTTCAAGATCAATAAGAGAATGAAGTATATTATGCGGTTTATAGATAATAGATAATATTATCTATAAACCTTGCAACATAAAATTAAGTAAACCTAAAAATTAAAATGATAGCATAATCAAAAACCGGCAGTCGTGAGATAAACCAAAAAACCAAGTAAATCGTTGTTTGTGTTCCATCCCTCGTAGTCTTGTACTCTTGTCTACTTAGTAATTATTACTTAATTATCCGATCTAACTTCTAAGCAGTAAGTACTAATTTAGTAGTTAATAGTTATTACTTACTAGTTAGACTAACTAAGTTAACTTTATTTAAAATAGTTAGTGTGTTGTATTGTTTGTATTGTACTATTGTAATCAGTATTCAGTAATATAGTTTTATTTTAAGTTTATTTTTTCATTTGAAATAAAGAATCAACTATCTCACATAGTAGTATAGTACCTATTAATATTAAGTATTTCGGTATTTACATATTTATATTCTTGGATACACTTAGTATTGAATTCAAGCTTAGATAATATTTATAAATAATGATTAAGTAGACTAACAAATTATTTTTAATTATAAATTATGTTATTTAACATACTTAAGAATTAGCTATAAATCTTATACTATTGTAAATATTTGAAGTATTTCCCTTTTATTTATTCAGAACTATGAAAACTTTTGTACATTATTTTTACAGAATATATGAGTAGAACATCATCAATCAGTTTTAATGGAATTCAGTAATTCAGTTCTTGGTTGTTACATTTCAAAACCTATTAACTTAAGACAATTTAAAACTGAAAATGCTTTTAAAGTTGATCAAATTAAAATGTCAAAGATCAATGATCGTGTAATATTTGAAAAATTAAAATCAATTAATCCAGATGCTGATTTAACTAATTTACCAGATGATATAAAAAAGTGGGAAACAGAATTACAAAAATTTAATTATCAAGAAGTTTTTGATTCACCAGATGTATTAAGTGCTCGTTATGTTATTCCTATCTACGACACTATTAGTAGTAATCTTCAAACACTTAAAATTATGAAAAGTGATTTTTATCAGACTAAAAAAACAAAATTATATACTCCGCTTCCCAATTTTACTCCAAGAGGTAATATTATGCCTGGTCAAACTTTATTAATTACAATTTCATTTTATTATCCATTTCATTGGACAAAAAATCAAGTTCCTGATGAAACTGTTTTTCCGCGCTGTAAAAAAACCCTTCAATTTTATGATACACAAACTCTTCAAGATTTGAAACAAGGATTTAAATGTGAAAATGAAGAAAGTGAAATCAGTGGCGATATAAGCAGAACCCCTCATAAACCATTAGGTAAATTAAAATTTTTATTTTTTATGTAATATATATATAATTTTTTAGTGGTTAATTGATGGTTTAATATTATTTAGATGATAAATAATCTCTTCAAAGTACTATCTAAAATAAAATTCTGAGGTTTAAAGGGGTTAGGCACTTAAAACTTTTTGAATGCTAGAAAAAGATGATGAAAAATTATATATTAGTCATCAATATACTTAGAATAAATTATGTCAATTCATAAATTTGAAGCATTTTTATACATAACTTTTTATATAGAATTAAAATCATATAAATTTAAAAATATAATAAATGGATTATTTATTTTATATTTTTATTTTTAGAATACATTGTGAACTCAGATTTGAGATACGGATTATTTTACATTAACAATAACATATATGTCGACACATTACCTGATAGAAGTACACATGTTTATGCTGAAACAATGAAAAAATGGGCATGTGATAATGGTCACCCTATTGAAAATATATTGTCAATGGATACACAACTTTTAGACTTGGAAATATGCATTGGCCAACCTTATGTTTACCAACACTTAGGACGTTGTGAACATCTATTTATTTTTAATGAAATCAGTATTGCTAAATCTAATGATTGTCTTGGCCAAACCAATTATCCAAGAGTCATCAGTGTAGCAAAAGATAAATTAAAAAATTGTATATTTTGCTCTAAAAATGTAGCTAGTGTTGTTATGGTGAATGATGATGATAGAACCCCAGTATCTGTAAATCATATGTGTGAACCTTGTTTTAAATCGTATAACTATGATCATTTAGATGATAAAATATCAAATTTTCAAGCTTACAGATGTATAAAATGGAAAAAATAAATCAATAACATATTAACTTATAAATAATAATCCAAATGATGATGTTTTTATGAAATTTTATATTTTTTTAATTGTTAATAAGAATTAAGTTAAAATACTTATTCTTAAAATTATAAACCCTAGACTTTAATTTGTATAATTATAATTGTAAGTAAATAAATAAAAGTAAATACATTTTATACAATACTATTTATATTTTTTAAACTTCTAATCATGATAATTCTGTCTTTTTGTGTTGCAAATTATATTGGACAACAGAAAAATCTTACTTGGCTGTAATATATATTCTCATGTATGGGTAAAAACAAAGTGATAAAAATAAGTTGGTGATATTCGAAAGAAAAATCCTTTAAAATTATATAATATACTTGTACGAAAAACCTCAACACTGGTATATATAAGTTGAAAAAGAATGCAGGCTTAAACCAGGTTGTACAATACACTTGACTTGCAAGATTTTTTGAGATCAAAATAGTTAGAGCTAGGCATGTATGCAGAGATTGGCTTAGTAAAATGGATACTCTTCACTAACAAACCAAAAAAATAAAATCAGATGGGGGGAAGACTACATGACATTGGAAAAACAGAGTAGAAGATGACTTAGAGGGACTAAGAGATAGGCAAGAAATTAAAAATGCAATGAATCGAAGACCTTAATGAATTGTAAAGGTAAGAATGTTTTGTTTTTATTTAATATATTATATTTCTTCTATAATATTACCACTGAATGATACTCTTACTATACAACTTTTAAATAAGTTATAAGTATTCAAACTAAATGAAAATTAATTCAATATAAATAAAAAAAATAAAAACAATCAGAAAACTAATATTTCAATATTACAATTTACAAAGTAGCAACAAATTGAAATGTATCAAGCAAGGTGGATTCTGGATAGTGGATATTATAAAATTATATAATTTATTATTAAATTAAATTCCATCAAGAATATTATCTATTCTTTATTTCTTTATCAAGAATTAAAACTTAATTGATAATATTACACAAGTATGTGATATAAAGAAAGTATGTGATAACTGATAACTATTAAATTAAAATAAATAATGGGTTTGGTATAGCCAATAATTTTATTAATTCTTTTAGTTTATTTGTTTACCAAAAAGTTACATCGTTTAATTCAAGTTACCTACTTTAAGTACGTTTGAATGTCTCGTTTAAAAGGATGGAGGTATGTTGCATTCCTATCAGCTTTTGTTGGTGGCATAGGATTAGCAACTTATCCAATCATTATTTATCCAATGATGCACGTTGAAGATTATAGTAAGTTAAATTTGTAATATATAATTTTATTTTACTAATATTAATAGTAAATTAATATATATGTACTAAGTTTAATGATTTCTTGGTCTACTAAATAATATTTAACTTTACGTAAATTGTACATAATTATATACAAAAATCATATTATACACATTATCAAACGAATGTTAATAGATTCTTGGTAAGCGTATAGCATATTCAATATTTAAATAATTATGTAAAAGTAAAAGTAAAATAAATGTATAGTTTTGGATTCAAAATTATTTTAAAATCACCATGTCAACATATTTAGTATTGCTATTTCCAAATTAAACTTAATATATAATTAGTTAAAAATTACATAATATTTTGCAATTTCTAAATATTTTTTAATTGCTCACAATTTTTAAGTGAATAAAACTACTGTGATTGTACCTTTAAAAATGTATTTTTATTAATGCTATAATATTTAATTATTAATTATTTTTATAATAAATTAAAAATTGTTAAAATAGGTATTTTTCCTTATTATTCAAGTTTTAATGAGATTTTTTTTTTTTAATCCACTTATTTATCATTGCATTTAAGTTTCAACAAATTATTATTTTATGTTAAGGCGAGTACAATATTAAGAAGAATATCTTAAAGAAAAATAATATCTTGGAATTTAATTTGACTTTTTTCCATATAACTTATCTTACTTTATAATATTTTTTAGAAAAGTCACAAGAGATGAATCGTGCACAATTAGATCAATCTAGAATACAGCCCGAAGCTCCTGGGAGTATGTTATTTTTATATTAATTTATAAAATGGTTACCTTATATTTATATCATATGTTATATTTTAGATATGAACAAATGGATTGATCCGTTTGAACGAAAGAATCAGGACTGACATTGTAGATGACCAGAACAAGAACTTTTTTTTTATTGAAAATGTATAAGCAAGTGATTGTATTTTTATCTAAGACTGATAAAAAAAAGAAAAAAAGAATGGTCATGTGTTGGTGAATAGATGTTTTTAACTGTAGATAATATAAATAATATAATAAATGTGTATATTTTTTTAATTGTATAGTATACTTAAACAAGGTTAGATACCTGCTGATATTTCAAGAAAAATAAAATATGATTTAATTTTTTAATAAAGTTGTACTCTTTAAAGTGCAACCAAGTTAAAATGATGACCAGTTGAGTGTTATAAATTGGATTTGTCATGGATTGACTGGTTATTGTGTTAACTTGGTTACTGCAACTAAGTGACAATAGTGCATAGAATAATAATTATATTATATAAAAAAAGTACAATTATCTACATTATTAAATTACAATGTTAGGTACTTCTTCATCATAATTTAATCAACATTTGATATGCATTTTAGATTGTTCTAATTCTGTTGAAAAATAAACAATGCATAATACAAATAATAAATTAACTATTTTTATCATAACATTTTATTTTTAGATTCAGATTTTTAGAAAATTTATTATAAAGCTCTTCTAGTTCATTATTTTCAAGTGAACAATTTATGTTATCCAAGCTCACTGTATCAGAGATACACGGATAGTCTAGGATTAAAACTGTAGTAGGTAATCATTAAAACCAACACAAATATTAATGATCAAATTTTTAATTGTGTTCTAAAATACAATATTAGAGATCTATAAGTCATTATTTATAATGGTATTATTAATTATTACTTTTAAAGTTTAAACTGCTATATATTTTTAATGACTATAATTTACATTTATCATATTTATAATTTCTTTACTCTTTAAGCTTTAAAAGTAGAAAATCAAAAATAATTATTTAAAAAAAAATACAATAGATGTTATAATCTATAAAGAAATATTTTGTGTTAAATTTTAAATGTTTTTAACTTTATATTATGATGACTTTTTTAATTAATTAATAACTATGTCTTCCAATTGTATATGGTAACATTTGAACAGCCTTCAGTATTCTCTCTTCAGTCTTTGGTTTTCCTGGATTAAAAATATCATTAAAATAATCCTATATTTTTGAGTTGTCTGATTTATAATAATTTTATTAAAATAATATTGATTATTTTGTGTAAAAAAATAAAAAATAAATGTAACATTTTAACAAATTTTACATATCGATATTGATTAATGATTATATTATGATATCATTGATATCACCATAATATTTGTAATATCCATACTAAATACCTATTTTTTATGAAAATACATATTACAATTTTTTTATGTAAAAAAAATAAATAATATTTAAGTGACATAGATAACAAAATGTTAATAACAATGACAAAACACACAAAGAGAAGACCACCTAGCAATAGAACATCAGAACTTATTAACCATAGGCACCAATATCACTAATATAAATTTCAGTAATAGGCACGTAATATTAATTTTACTGCTCTCCACACAGAAATTGACAAATTTGTAATATTAAGTGATGGGGTTTTGTAGCAATTTGGATATAGCTTGACAGATGGCAAAAAACATATGTTTACAATACAGTATTGAGTTAAAGTCTAAATTAGTTGTGTTGGTTTCTAAACATTCGTCAAAATCCCTGAAATTTATTGATGATCCAGTTAATATTCTTGTTGAAAACTTCGCTAAAGCATTATGCACTACAATAAATAATGATAAAAACGAAAAAATATTAGTTTTTAAATGTAAATGTTCCATGAATGTCAATTATGTTATTATATTATTACTAATGTATTTTTGCAACATTAAAATACCTTCCTATGGGTAGTTTACATTGTAATTTATACTCGTGCATTTTGTTAAACATTATGAGGTAATTATTACAATACCTAGTTATAATTAAATAAATTATTGAGTCTAAAATAGTGCTAGATTTTTATTGGTTTATATTAATAATAAAACATTGTTTACTTTGAAGAATTTTGGATCATTTATTTAAAATATTATTAGGTACCTAACTATTAACATAATGCACATTATGAAATTATCTAAATGAAAAAAAGGTAAAATATAATAATATCATCAAATTATTGAACGAATATAAATAAATACCTAGAAATTATTTTATATCATGTATAGAAAACTAATAAAACTAATTTAATTATTTTTTGGATTATTTGTATAACTTTATTTTGCAAGAAGCAAACTTCTGCTTATTGTAGTCTTAAAATTAGATAAAACTCATTCTCGTAAAATCGGTTTTCTATGATTTTTGATTAATCTTAGATTACAATTTCATTATAATTACAAAAATTATAGTAGGTAATATTTTCGAGAGTTTGAAATAACGGTTTTATTATTATTTGACTTGTGTAATAAAAAATTTTTTTTTAATTTAAATGAATTTTAAATTATTCAAGACTATAATTAGGCAAATATATTTGATGTTACACCCTTAAAAATACTATTCTTTATAATTTTTGTAATGGATAATTTTAATTGAAGATTAAAACGGTGCGATTACATCTTAAAGTTACTTGATATCTAATAATACATGTACCTATTTATATAAACGTATATCAATATTCATGACAAAATAAAATATTAAAAATTTCAGGTGTAAAGTGCAATGTTCAAATAAAATTTTTTACGACATAAACAAATAACGATAAATAATATAGTATGATCGATGTATACAATATACAATTAAAACCACCAGTGACGAGTTTTCGTCTCCAATTTGTAGGCAATAAAAACATAAAATTTCTAGTATAATCTCTCATAACTTCAGATGTGTTTATGGCTCATTATATTATAGGTATACATAAATACTGAATATTTTTATAGGTATAAAATGTCATCTGCGCTCTAATATGTACCTATATTCTTACCTGGCCGTACAAAGTGTTTGAAATTTCGCATTCTTAACGTTCGACCGCGCACAAAGATACCTAGAACATGCAATACATGAATATAATATCTTCGACAGTTATGCTATGGTTGCCGAGATTGTACAGTATGTATATGTTACGGTAAATGATGTTATATCAGAAATTAACGTTATTCGCCGGTTATTAACGTTATTTACCTACGAATGTGGGAATTATCGTTATTTTCTAGTGAATAACGTTAATAACCGTATGATTTGGGAAATTTTGATCTGATTATAAAATAAAAGAGGTTATTGCGGAAGATTTAAAAAAATAACCAAAGAACCAATCATCAAAGAAGACAAAATCGGAAATTAAATCATAGAAATCGCAGAAAAAAATTCGGAACTTGGTACTTAAATATTTTTTAATTATTTAACGATAAATTTCCGAATTTTAAATATAACAAAAATAAAACTAAAATATAAATATTTGAAAATTATTTTAAATATTTTTTTGATGATTGTCAAGAAAATATTTGTATTGCATGTAAAAATTCAAAAAAAAATTTAGAAAAACAAGGAGAGGAAATGATGAAATTTTCTAAAGAAAAGTTTCCTCAGCTTGAAATAGGCTTAACTGTATGTGTATTTATACCAAACGTTGATAGAGCTCGTGGTTCTATGCAAAATATACTATCAGTAAAGTTGTCACTCAAGTTGAACATGATTTATACAAACTCTGTAAGTTAATTCTTAATGAAAAAATATACTATTAAAATTAAAATTTGTTTTATTATTTTATAAGTACGGAATATAGTTTTCTTAAATATTATTTCACATGTCAAAAATAGCTGTTTGCAAATAAAATCTATTAGACATGGACAATGTGATAAAATTAGCAGATGGTAGACAGTTGACACTGAGGGAAGTAGCTAGTAATAATTCGGTTGCGAGCCCTCGAAAGTACCAGCGTTGTCATTGCAAGACTAGTTGTAATAATAATAAGCATTGTGCCTACCTTGGGGCTGAAAAATTATGTTATATTAAATGTCATGGGAGTAAAACTTGTAAAAATAAATAAAAATAATAATGCATTTATTCTATTTTTAAAAATATCTGGGTACTTACATAATTTTTCAAATTGTAGTATTTGAGATTCATGCGCTTATCTGGTTTATAACATCAATTACCTGTGTATTTGGTCATTAACGTGATTATCCAGTTTATAACGATAATTACCTGTATATTTGGTAAATAACGTTAATAACCGGTGAATAACGTTAATTTCCATTTAACATCATTTACCGTAACATATATAAATAACAGATATGATTATAATATTGTGTTGGTACATTGGACGTGAACTCACTTTGAGTCTGAGATCCTTCAATCCTTCGCGATAAGTCTGTCCATCCCGCTTACACGTCGGCCAGCCGTCCGGGACATAAATTTCGAGCGTATCGTACAATATTTTTGTGAACCATCGTTGTGATTGGTTTAATTCCGTTTCGCAGGACACGATCGCTATAATAATAGAAACTATAGAGGATTGTCATCGACTGCATCTTTGAACACTCGCGATTTGTACAAAACGTACTGTAATAAATATCAATCCTGAACAAAAGTCTGCGTACTTGACATTAATCGTGTTGTCTATTGATTGATATAATGATATACCAACATACCGTAAACGTCCGTTTTGCAGGCGTGAGTTAACTGTCGGGAATTTTCTGTTCGAATTACGACATAAGAGCATATCGAAACTATTATAGATAGATATTTTATTGATTATTTGCATGAACGGAACTGTTGAAATCTTAATTAATGTCCATACTTCAATTTGTCCGAGTTGATTACCTATAATCAAGTTCCCTAAAAATTGTATCAAATAATAATACTTATTATAATACAGTTATTTTCGGCTTGATTTTTTTTTTTTTTATTAACAAAAAATTGATGTGATGCCCATAAAAATAATTAAGAAAAAAATACGTATTTCATAACATAAAGAATCCTCTTAACGGAGAAACTTTGACAAGAGTGTCTTGAAAGTTACAGTTATTGTTATCACGAAAATAAATATTTTAAACTTTTGTCCGATTTTCATCGTGTATTTTATAGATAAATTTAAAATGTAAGTATGAAATAATATTAAGAATTCATTAAACCTATCAAATTATGTTGTGTTGTGAAATATGGTGAAACTTTCAGTATACCTACTTATAATTTTGTAAAATTTATTCATCCTTATGCTTGTAAATAAAACTATATTCAACATTTAGATTTTAACTATAATTTATAAGAACGTAATTCAATTTTTAAATGTTTGAAAATTATTAAAGCATATAGGTACGTGTAAGCGCAATTAGCTATTCATTAAATATAAGTTTATCTAACAAGGTAAGATTCTTAAATATGTTGTAATTATTGATTTTAAATTAGACCTCAGGTATGAACATCTGTTATATTTTTGTAACATAATTAATATATACTAATTACAGTGATGTATTGCGATTAAAATTTAGAAATAAAATGTCGGTCGTTCAATTTTAATAAATTATTATGTCTTCATCGTTTTCACTTTATATTATGAACTATTAGTTGATCTACTTATTATTACATAATTGACACTTGACTGTTATATGTTATACAAAATAGATTATAGTAAAGATAGGCGATTTAGAATTATTAAAATATGCGTATAAAATTAATTCATCAATTAATAATTAAGTTTTTATAAATTTTGATCATCGTATAAAATAAAAATAAAAAATACAAAATACAAAATACAAAATTAACTTTCTTCGATAGCACAACAGTAATATATTATAAAACTTGTTTAAATCAAATCTCCATATCATTTAAAATTGTTGTAACCTGTTTTCAATAGCCTCATTAATTATTATATAATACAACAAAACTATTCCTAACGAGTTAATGAATAAAACACATGTTGATAACTATGATACCTACTAATATATTTGTAATTTTAATAAAATAAAATAATGAATACACGTAATTACTTTGATTTATAAATATTTTGTATAATAAGTTCTTTGTAGTGTATTACTTTAATTTTTAATTATCAAAGTATTAGTTTATTAGAATATTATTAAATATAATTATTATTTTTGTCGATATAATTTTTTCGATGGATCAAAAAGCTTGAAATTTAATACAAGGTTTATCAAAAATTGGTATTGTAAGTGATAGCTATATAAAAATATCAAAGATATAAAGTCATAATTTTTTTTTTGTAAGTGTTTGGAATATTCAAATTTTGACAAATTAATCAAAATTATGAACGTTTGAAAATACTTTTGTAGTTTTAAATTTATAAATTGTTTAATTTTTAAAGCTAAATCAAGTTTGTGTATTACAAAATTACAAATCGTATTATAACAATAACAATAAACATTTATATTTAGCTAAAATATACTATTATTAGTGTAAAAAAATTTAAATTATAATTATTTTAAAAATATTTCTTATCATTTTAGACATATTAATAAGTATAATATTTGTTTTTATAAAAAATAGTTAAATAATAATTAAAACATAAGTAGGAAGAGTTTTCAGCTTAAACTTAAATAATATAATTTAAAATATATCACATTATCTAGAACGATGTGTTCTAAGAGTTATCTTCCTGGGAACTGTTGAATTTGTCATTTTTTTACTATTAAAAGTTATTTCTGAAAAACAAAAAACTTCATTATATTAGAACCATGAGTGTTACGTAGCTATGGTAAACCTATTTACTTAAAATATTATGTAAGTAATAATTTAATAACTAAAAGTGAAGTTATATTATATACATTGATATATTTATAATTAATTATAATTAATTATTAGTACATCAGTATACAGTTAATTATTTATTGTGTATAATATATTAAAATTAGTGAAACCATTTTACCCAAATAGTAAAATCGACATGACATTTATGTATTGATTAGGCACACTATTGATTTGTTTTCAATGTAAAATTAATAAATAATATTAAATATTACAACATTAATTTAATAATGTTTATTTTTTAATGGTGTTCCGTCACTTCGACGCGCGTCAAATGAACATGGTTATTTGGAGAAACGATAATTGAGTGCATGTGACATTTGACTCATCTATTTTGACACAATTACATCAAGCAACAAGTTAATTTTGACGCAAAACAAAAAAATAAAATAAAAGTAAAATCTTTAATTATATCTTCTGAATTAATTAGCCAATACTTTTAAAAGTCCCTCCAACCATACTCGGGTGTCACAAACCTTTTTTATAATTTACCTACCATCAAAATTACTGTTTATTCATATCGATCAATATTTCAATTAACTTAATCAGGTTAAAATCACTGATTTAATGTAGTAAATGGTTCCTATTTAATATTATGGTAATAATTATAGTTATGTTATCGTGTGTTTTTATTTTTATTTTTATTTATATAATTATTAAAAAAAACTGTCCCAACTTAGGACTCCTAAGCATCAATTATTAATAAATAAATAAAAAATAAGTACGAAGTGTGGAACATATAATATAAAATATCATTTGCCATATTTATATATAGATAATTACCTATAAAACTTTAAATTGTGCACAGTACCTTGAAGCACTATGTCGATTGTGAAGTTACTTATAACTTATAATTATAATTTATAGATATTGGTATATTTATTTTATGTTGAAAGTTATGACATTGACTTTAACATTTTTGATATTGAATTTAATTACAGAGTGTATAACAATTGTCTGACATTTAAAAATATAATTTTAATGTAAAGCTGCCATACACATATATCCACGATATATCATGGTAATATATTATTTTCATTTTTATTTTTTTATACGAGTTGAAATGTCACATGCGCCCAATCGTACTTTACTTTTTATTGTTGCCCTTATACATAATGATTTAGTATTAACGAAAAATAAATAATGAATAATGACAATTCTAGTCATAAGAAATTAACTCGAAAACAATGCATAATAGACAAATTATTAAAATATGATGATAATGGATATTTTATATATTTATTTATATTTTTAGTTGACCCATCCAACTTTTATTTGTGAGTGGTTTAGAATATTGTAGACATTTTTATGTTTAATGATATGACTCATATAGGTAGTTATGTACCTAATTTATACTATATTATACTGTAAGAAATGAAAAACAAATAATACGTGTATTATAGTATGTGTTAATTAATTACATAACTACGTAGATAATAGTTTAAAATGTATTATTTTACTTGGGCTAATGATGATAACCAATTTTTTTAATAATATATCGAATGGTGATTCAATTAAAGTATACAAAAAAAATGCAAATATGAATCCAAACACGATATCTCCAATTGCTAACCATAACTATAAAAAATACAATTATGAATCGGTAAGTTTATACATCGTTCATTTTCTGTACAAACAATTGTTACTAAAATTTTACTTATAACTAAGGTATCAAGCATAAATAATACTATAAATAATTTAAAAGTGTAACATTTTATTTAGTCATTTCATTGCTTACCAAAAGGCTATCATTAAAGTATGTCGGTGATTTCATTGATGCTACTTGAAGTAATTGTATTGATAGTCCTCCCAAATATGCTCCATACGTTAATTTGCTTAATGGTATAAATATTTGTAACCATATACCTATAATATTTTAAATTAAACTTATATAATATCGTTGAACGTTTCCAAAATATATCATATTCATTTTTTTAATTATAAACAATATATATATTTTAGTTAATGAAAATGTAAAAAGCATATTTAAAAGAAAATTAGAGTAACGGACACTGGATAGTGAGACCTTTTAAATTATTTTCAAAATATTTACCTTTAAATAATCCATTTACAGCACATATTATAATAAATATGGAAATAATAGTAGCAAACACCATTCGGTACATGAACGTGTATATAACGCTTAGCCATAAATTGTATTTTTGGACATAAAACACTTGGATGGTCATTAGAAATAACGGATAAATTATAATGAGTATCGTTATCAAAGTTTTTGAGTACGGAAAACGAAACTTCGGTTTATCAAGTTTCAAGTACCGATAAACATACGCAGCAAATATTCCCACGAAATACGGTGTCGATCTTGTGTGACTAGGCACATATAACATTACATAACTTTTTTGTTCGGGTAGATAGTTTAAGATCCTGTAAAATCACAGAAATACAATATTATATAGAATACAAATTATTTAAGTGAAATATGGAAATGCTTCAAGTTATAAGTCAGTGTTTCAATATAAACTTATTATTTCCATAAATTATTTTTAAAATTAATATACATTTTTGTACAAATTAATAGGTAGATATAATAACAATAATATAAAATTTTTTCAATAATGCGACCCATGTATAACTTTCTAATAGAAATTCGATAGTTTTGAGTCGAAGATGAAAACTGTGTAATTATAATAATAATTGCGTTAATCCGTTTATTGATAAGAAAATTATAGTGCCATAATTCAACACAGTATTTGCAATTTTTCCAATAAGCAAAACAAATTTTGAAGGCGATGAAACAAATTTAGGAACATTTAAAAAAAATACATTCATATGGCAAGCACCTAATTATAGAAAGTAATAAAAGGTATTGCAAAGGTATAATAAAAATAAAAATGCATTATTATAAAACTTATAAAATATATAAATAAAATTAAGCTATTTTTAGGTTAATAGCTGTGAAGATATCTTAAATTAGGCAATACAATAACAATTTTCAATTAACTATCTAAAAAAAGTAAGATTATTAGTCTTGTAATAGGTATCTATGGTGTAAACAAATCAATAAATTGATCTTCAATTTATATTAATTTAATTAATTTAATTTTCTATTATAATAAATAACAATGTTATGTGTGATTACTTACGAAAGATAACTAAAAAATGTCGGATAAAACTGATGAGTGTATACGATACAAGCAGGTATTAAACATGAAAAAAATATCGTAATCCACATTAAGTATACTCCATATCTTTGGTACTTCCACACAAAATAAACAAGTATAATGCCGGCGATAAAAAATTGCATGTCACATGCCAAATACCACGATTGAATAACACACTGGAAATCGTCAAGTTTTCAAAATATCTTTTTCGATAAAAAAAATACTTACTGGATGTTCGGCATCTACATAGTTATTTATAAATAGAAGATTGCTCCACCAATTATTTTGACAGTAATCTGATTCTTGAATAGCTATTTTTTTCCATAATGGTCCATTAGCCAAGTGTAATAAGACAAATGTATGAAACGCTATCATTAAACCATATACAGGCATTAATCTGAAATATGTGAGCAATCAAAATAAGTATAATTAACAAACATATTAGATCTGTAAAGAAGTATCAAATGTGAATATTATGGATTTAAGGAAGTATTATTTTAAATAAAATGGTTACACGACTTGTTTACGAGTAAGTACCTACAAAATATTTTTATAGAAAAACTATAGCATAAAATTAAAATGTAATTATTAATTTCAAAATTGAACTGGTTTTTTTTTCCTGTAGAAAACACATTTATCATTAAAATGTTATGAATTATGATAAACATTGTACAAGGTATACGAAATCTTCTCTCATACAAGGTTATTAAATAAAAATATTTCTTATAAAAATACTAGGTATATAATTAAACACATTTTTAACCGAATAATTTTTTGCCTTCATTAAAAATGTAACTAGCTTAATTTATAAAAAGTTTTTAAAACTCTTTAAACGTATTAAATATCCAATTTAAAGTTTAAACAATTAAAATATTTAATAGGTAATATAATTATTGTAATATTCTTAAAACGCATCTTAGTCTTACCTTAACCATCTCCATAATAAGAGTAATGGAACATTTATGATTTTTGTGTTGACTAGTTCATCATAAAGAAAATAAAAAGTAAGGAAACCGCTGATGACAAAAAAGAAATCGACGACCAATGATCCATTGTGAATCATAGCATACATTAAATGTAAGGCTATCTAGAAAAGTCCGAGTTTCAATAATTCAATAAAACATGTAACGTAGGTATAAGCTTATTGTATTTGACAGTTGTATAAATATGGTACTTGTGTTTATTATATAGTATAATAAATGTATACCTCGTCAAGCTTTTTAGGGTTTTGTAGTGGTTGACCAGAACTGTACAACATTCTTTGTCCAAATATGATCAAAACGCATGCATGAGTCTTTAAAATGTCAATACAAGATAGATTTTCGGTTTTATTGCTGGCCAAAAATAAACGTTTTATATTAGCCGGAAATGAAAATGCCATGAAAAATGATTCTAAAAATATTATTTAAATCACCTATGTTAAAATATAGTATTACTTATTATTATATAATAATTCATAAGTATAGATCGATAGGTACACATTATTCATCGTTATTTTTTTTTTTAATTTCACATTACGTTACTCACTGTAATTATTATATTGATTTTCTTCCTCTTTGTATATGTCACATAGTGATCCGACGATCGTCAATAATATAATAATTAATAGAACTATCCTATTAAATAAATAAATAAATAATATTATCGAGTTGAATAATTTTAATCGTATCACATTCCAAAGAGTTCAAAATGAAATTGAATATCAATATCAATATAATATTTTGATTAATTTATTATTATTTATATATTTTTGTATGACTAACTTATTGTAAAACAATTGATTTGAATTAACTTTATAATGTTTGAAGATATTAAGAAAATATGGTTTCCCACACAGGGAATACGTCAAACGAAAGCAACTGATAAAGAAGGTAAATTAAACTGATATTATTTATTTTTAAATATGAAATTATAAAAATATGATTTGATGATAAAATTAAATTAGAATCCTAACAATTTAATATTTTAAAACACATATTAAATTATTAATTAACGATTTTTAATATGATTTACCAAAATATCCGATATCCCAATAACTTTGGTGGCTGGAGTTCTTGTTGAGTAGTACAATAAATTGAATTCACAGTAACAGTGGTCATAATTTGGTGCTTATAAAATTCAGAAATTATTTTGGGTGATAATGTTGTCTGTATATCTGAATGTGAACATGACGAAGGTATACAGAGTGCTGTATTGATTTCGTTGCGTTGTATTTTCATCAAACCAGACTCATTCTAAACAACACATTTTAAACGTATCAACTAATAATAAAATTAGGAAATGAAAAATCGATACTATTAGTTATTTAAATTTATCTTACTTAACAAAAGTAATCTTAGTTATCTTATTTAATTAAAGATATCATGTAAATTAATTTATAAAAAAAAAGTCATTGTTATAGTTTAAGTAGAAGAATTTCGATTTATAAAATTATATTTATCATATTTTAATTATGAATTTATGTTTGTTGTCATTGAAAATATACACTTACAATAGTATAATTATTATAATTATTATTGTATCATTTACATAATATACTCAAACGGTTTTAACACAATTTATAGTGTAGATACAGTGGTATTTTTATGATAAAAATAAAAAATAAAATGACAAAAATCAGTAATATTGTTTTAGCCATTCAGGTATTTATAATCTATATAATTAACAGATATTAATTAAATATTACATCAATACACAAATTACGTTAGAAATTATAAATAATATAAAAATTGTTTATTATTCACTAAATATACCTAATAATAATAATTAATACAATAGTTATATTTTATTATGAAATCATTACATTATAAGTTTGATATATTTGTATTTATTTCAGCCTTCAAAAATATTATTGATTGAATAAAATATTAAAATTAGAATCAGTACACAGATAACTAACCTTTGTGGACTCCCACACAGAGCCTGTTGAATTTAGATTAGAATGTGTGATGTTGTAATAATGTGGATACAATTTTGTAGTAGGTAAAAAACGAATGCTTATAATACAATATTGAGGACTTAAATCCAAACCAGTAGTAACAGTTTTTAAACATTCGTCAAAATTTCCAAAGTCATAAGATCTCCCAGCTAAGATCCCCGTAGGAAATTTAGATGATGCGTCATACACTGAAAATAGAAATATTTATTTTAAATTAAATTTTTAATGATGTATAAAATAAAACAAAGCAAAATGATAAAGTTTAAATGAATAATAGACGATTTTACAATGATAAAATTATAATAGTCTTTATTAGTTATAACAGAAACCTAGCAGGAGGAGAGAGTTGCCCAAATAAAAATTCTGTCTAACAAGCGACCGAGTCAGGCTTTCGGGCTTCTATTCCAGATTATTAAGTATAAGCACTGTTTGAAAAAAACAATTAGCATAAATATATAATGTTTTCATTTTTTGTTGAATTTATGTCATGTACCGATCAACATATTAAAATGTTAAATACATACAAATCAATACACTCAATGAAAATAATTCATCACACGATTAAAAATGTATTGTTATGAAAATTAAAAATTATTCTTCTACTTTAATGTAGTTTTACTTCGAGCAATATACAACTCCATATTATCCAATAACCTTTGCAACTGTGCAAACAACTTTTGATTCGTAATACTGTAAATACTTAATGATATCTTGCTATAATTTAAAGAAAATATAAAATTTATACTATTCTCACCGCCTCGGTCAATAAAAATAATCTTATAAACTATGTCACATTCCATTTCATTATTGAAATTATCTTTCCTCTCTCTCCATTTAATATAATACCTCGGTGTATAATAATTTATTCAAACGTTTTATTCAAGTACCTAGTGATTAGGACAACATATAAGTTATTGGCCCATACTTAATCTGCTAAAATTATAATATTTTAATTTTGCATTAATATTTAACATGTATTTATTTTAGATAGGTGAGACTCTGCGTGCTTAGACTCATAATTATGTATCTGGTGTAATGAATAATGGGCGCGCGAATTCAGTAATGAATAATATTAATAACAATAATAACTATAGAAAAAAAAGCAATGAGTACATTTCAAATTGAAAAATTACATCAATATTAGCTATTAATTGTTAATATTTCTTAAAATATACGTATATGTATGTAATGATAATGCATATTTAAAAAAAATCTAATTATTTTTCTTAGTTTGCTCGATTGATATTTTATTTTCATTCGTAAAATGTAAATTATCTATCATATAGCTCAAAATATATAAAATTATAATCAAACTTATATAAGCTCACTTTGAGTCGCCCACAGTTTAAGGTCTCTCAATCCTTCTCGATACTCCAGTCCGTGACGTTTGCAAACTATCCCTCCGTCAGGGGTGTATTCGTCTAAGGTATCGGACAAAATTTTCGTAACCCATAGCTGTGACTGAAAATTCGGTTGACTGAAAACGGTCAACACAGACGTCATAAAAAATATTATTACCAACATAATATTATTGTCGGTCATTTTGTGTCGCACACACGATGTCCATACGGTAAATACTCATACTGGACTCATCAATAACTGTGCATTTAATACAAAACAATACAATTACATAATATAGTCAAGGAAAACGACATTGCACACAATCGAGTTTGACGGAATTTTTCAATAAAAATGCCCTCCCTTACTATTTCATAATATTGTTTGCAGTCAAAGCTTAACGGTTTACCATTATTGTGTATGTATCTTGACATAACGTTTCAGTAGAATTTTAATTTTTATACACATTACATATAGGTTATATTGTTATTATATTGTTGAATTTTTCTTTAAATTATATAAACAAAATAAATGGATTTAGGAAGACACGATGAGAAAATAACTATAAGCTATACTAGTACATGGTTTGTTAATTTAAATTTAAAATAATAGTATCGAAGTAATAGTGTATACGATAAATATACGTACAGACTTGTAGATAATAAAATTATAGTTTTTAAGTATATGACAGGTATGTAATTTTTATAATAAAATGCTCAGGTAATTTAACTGTTCAATATATAATTTGAGTTTTGTATTTTTGATTTTAATAAATAGTTCAGGTAACTAACAACAACGTAATTATTTATTCTTGTTGAAGTTTCCTTAACTAAAACAAAAATATTATAATAAATCTAAAAAAAATGTCTCATAAGATATAATGTTGCACATTCAAACCAGTTTTTTAACAGTCATAAGTCGTAACTAGAGAGTATAAGATAAAGTTCCGGTCATATGGCAATGAGCAAAATAAATTCATTGCACGTAATTGCAAAAAAAAAAAAAAACATTCACGATTATAAAATATAATTTTTTCGAGTTCTTAAATTATGTAAACAAATAAATTCACGTCACTCCATAGATAGTTAGAAATATATATAAACAATATAGTTAATATTACAAATGTAGTATTGCATTATGGTTACCAATAGATTAATTATTATCATCATCTAAATTCTTTTATTATTAAAATTAATTTTTAAATATTTTTATTAGTAACAATCATAATAATATTATATTCATTTTAATTACACCAGAACAAAACCCGTCAACTTTAAACACTCGACAAAGTTCTTCTATTGAAAAGATTTTCCGTTCTAAGAAACATATATTTTATTATTTTATTCCTGATACATCGCATTCACTTTTATTATTTTGATCAGTATTTACATTGAGGGGAAACGTGGGGGCACGAAGTCCCTTTTCTTTTAAAAATATATTTACGCATACCCATTCTAGTTGTACCTTAATCAACGAGACATTTAAATTTTTAAGTAAATTAATTTTTTTCACTTTTTCATCTTCCTTTAATTTCTTCTCAATGCAATATAACTAGTTTTAATATATCTATAAACGTTGATATAATAAAAATAGTTAAAACTCAATTAATTTTTTTAATATAAAAGAGTTACTGAAATGTTTAAATTAATAATTTAGGTATTCCACATATAGGTAATTAACAAAAAGTCAATGAACTTTAATATGAAATCATATAAATTATTGGGCTAATAAATTACAAATAGCCAGCGGTGATTGATTTAATTATTATTATAATCGATGTGAATGCAACAAAACAAGTTTATAATATAGGCCCTCTAATTTACAAAAATATATTATAATAATATTTACAAATAGTCTTAAAGATATAACTAAATATAACTTAAATAAATTACTTAAACTTGAGATTTTTTTCATAAATTAAAACTTACGTAAACTTATATTTAATAAAATAATATTTTTGAATGTTATTACATTTATTGATAATTTATGCTTACCTATCTTCGAATAAACTTTATTAATGTATGTAGCATATACTTTAATTGTGAATATGAACTACTTGGCTATTTATTTTTCACAAATATTACACAAACAAAAAGAATTTAACACATAATAAATTTTTCATTATATCATCTTATTGTATAATGTATATGACATTTCTAGCTGTAGGAAAACAATACTATACAAGTTTTTCAAATGTACAATTTCTTGATAATATTTTTAAAATTTTAAAACATAATATGTTATAATATAAATGATTAAATATTTTATTAAAACTAAAATAATTACGCATAAAACTACATATTATATTTTAAAATTAACATAATAACAGGCGTATACACATAACAATTGAGTGTAGGACTATTGTAAGTATAACGTTTTAACAACATAAGTTATAACAAACAACAAATAAATTAAACCAAAATGTATATTATTATTCGCTTTAAATTATTTATTATTTAATTATAGTTTACAGAAAATAGATGTGTAATATTTGATATCATTAGCTCGTAAGTCGTAGGAAGAGGATTGCAATCGAAAACTAGTGATTGCAAAATATATTTAAATTAATTTATACATGTAAGTTTACTCATATTATGTACCTACTTAATAATAAAATAACCAACCATATGCAACGAAGAATAAATAGCTATAATTTATATTAGCAATAATTATTATTTTTAAATAATACGACTCTCTTGAAAATTTAAAACATATAGCTGACATTTTCGTATTAATTCGGCGTAAAATTAACTTCATGAAATAATTAGAATTTAAGTGTATTTGTACACCATTTAACAATATAATATCAAAACGACCAAAAGAATTAATTTTTAAAATTTTATATAAATTAAAACAATTTTTTACAACATTTTTTCCTCTGCCGGTGAATGATAATGTATTGTATAAATATGATGAAACCTATCTAATAGTTAAAAAAATAATTTAACTAAAACTTATTAGAATAAGTTTATTACAATAATTAACAAGGTTTTTGGTGATAATAATGGTATTGACTAAATTAAAGTATTTCAATGACTCCTCTTATTCCCAAATATCGAAAATCTTAATTAGTACTTTATGAGACTATAAATTCATCAAATTTTGTTTTTATCTGTACATACAGAACGATTCACCAATAATAATTACCCCTCATCTCTTACCATAGTTGTATTTAATAATTAATCTATTAAAATTCTAATTTTTGGAATTTGTACGTATTGGTTTTTACATTTGCATGTATAAAATTTACAACATAAAAAGGTCGATTATCGATTAAAAAACAATTTGAACCATCACATGATTTTTTTCTTAAACAGTATAAATTTAGAATTTTAGTGTTTTTGAAAAATCGGAATTCAAAGTTTAAAATCATCATTATAAAAAAGCGAGCAGGATTGGTTAATCACTCTGTGTACATCTTAAGACGGAGAAGATTACGTACAACATTTTATGGTACCACTACCACAGATTTATTTCGACAGTACATTACGTCGCGGACTCATAGTTGAGTTATTAATCATACACCTAATATATCCTAAGATTATATATATATATATAGGTACTAAAGTAACCAATAATTAATGCTGCCCAAGTTAAATAGTAATTTTAACCGATGCAAATAAGATATTCAGAGCACCTTGTAAAAATTAAATGCATAAACATTCCGATCGAAATGATGAACGGGCACGTACCATATTATAATATATTAGTCTCCTTGGGAGCCCCGACCAAGCAAACTGTATCAGGTATCCCTATCGTGTACTTGACACGGTGAAAGTCAAAGATATTTTTATTGTTTATGCTATCCTTCATACGTTTACTTCTAAAAGGTCATAACTGTTGAAAGACTACTTATTTTGCACTATTGATATTTGAATCATATAAATAAATATATACATACTATTTAATCATAATATTATGCATATTATGTAGATACCACGAGCCGAAAGATAATGAACATAATATCTGGTTATCAAATAATATTAAATCAACGTCAATCGGACTAGTTTTACTTGAATTTATAAGCACTATACTTTTTTATAAAACATTAAAATGTTAACTAGTGATATTGACTTACAAGCTATGATAAATGTTAAGATATAATAGTATAACACTACAACTAAAAAAAAAATATTTCCTAATATTATCATTTCCTGTTTTACAATTTATAACTTCTTTTTTTTTTTTTTTTATAGCTTCAAGTTATACAACTAATTTAGCTCAACAATTAAATAATAGAAAAGTACAATTTAAAAATAAAACATTACAATATTACGACATTTAAAACATAGATTTTATATAAATTTATTACTTATAACATGCTTTAATATGAAAAATTTTATATCTTAAAATTTGTTTATATATTTATTTAATGTGATTTAATTTAATAGAGATTTTATTAAAAGGAAAATTCCATCAAATGGAAGTGGAAGTATGACAAATGGTATACCTTTATGGTCGCGTGTGGATAACAATAAAAAATATCGTTTGTATTTATAAAAAAAACTCTTAATTAAACTTAAAATATCAACAATAATTTATTACAAAAACGTTTTTTATTCAGACAAGCTTACTCTGGTCGTTAACTATTGTGAACAAAATATTGTAGCACGTTCGCAATTAATAATGCCGCTGAAGAGTAGAATCGTGATCCAGTTGCACACGTTAACGACAAATAGTTTAAAAGTTAAATAATAATAAGAATAAAAAAAAAAAAAGTGTTTTTTTCGATTATGACAGTGGTTTATTTTATAATTCGAATGTACTTTTACCAAACATAATAGAAGGTACATAAAAGGATAGCGCATGTTTTTAAATTATAGTTCATATTAATAATAATAAAGATAGGCAATAGACTAATAAAAACCAATAAGGTTTTTTTTTTTTTAATCTCTATACAAAATAATTTAACATTTATAAGATATTTAAATGGATTTTTAAATAAATATCTATAGGTTGATGAATATAATAGAAAAAAGTCTAAGCTCATCGACAATTCACTTTAAAATAAAAAATTGACTCCATTTATGCTTATTTAGTTACATAATTATTTTAAAAAATTTAAAAAAAAATTAAAAAATGTATCTATAACATAACATTAGTTGTATGTATGAAATTTATAAAAATGAAAACTAAAAATTATTGATTTTGTTTTACATGAATGTTTAAACAAAATAAAATAATACCATAATATTAATATTAAGTAGATTCTAAGAAAATAACAAAATAAAAACGATATTGGTTTCATGTTGATTTTTATGTATAAAAAAAACATTTTTTAATCAAGCGTTATTCACATAGATTTGATGAACATAGTTTACACTTGGTTATTTTTAATTGTAGAAAAAAATATTACATTACTTTATTTATTTATTTTTTTAATAAACTAATGAATATTTATTTTTACTAATTCTATTTTAGATCTTCGTTTTTGACGTCTATTTTAAGCTATAACAGTTTTAAAAATAATAGAAATTTAAAAAAAATTATTTATATGACCTTAAAAATATATATTTATTGATTATTTGACGGTAGGACGAGAATTAATTCATTAGTCAAGGTAATTTCCATTCAATCACTATCTTTAATAATAAGACCGCATAATTAACTTGCTTTAACAAATCTATGTATTTACTATCATAATATATTATATAGTCCAGGAAATTTTAAAATTGTTTAATAATTTAATATCGATTTGTATTATCTATATGCAAAAAATCAATCTCTGATAACCGATAGTAACTGGTACTATAATACTGTAGCTATCGAAAAAAGTACTCTTGGTAAGTACCTATTACCCACATTATTAATTTTAACTAACTATTCAGTATTCATATTCAATAATAATCATCAAATGGATTCAGAATACATTTATAGTGACTTTTTAAGCATAGTGGAATAGCCATATAATGTAACTATGAAATTATAAAGATCTATTCGTTTATTATTATTAGTCATTTATCATTAGACTTCAAATATTTAATAAACAATTTAAATTTTAAAACTCAAAACTAATATTTTAATTATTTGTACGTCAATACTCAATACTAGGCAATTTGTGATGTAAAAGCCAAGCACAATGTACACATACAAATTATTTAAATATTATTTAACGTAGCACCCAGATTTTTATTTAAATTCATGTACTTCAACACTTAACTTGAAATATTTCTGATTGAATATTTTGTCAACGTTTCTTAATGCGTAGATGAAAATGTGAAATAGTTAATTACTTTTTTTTTTATATATTTTTGCGTACTTGAATAAAAATTAATACGTGTTATATATTTCTAGATAATTACATAAAAGTTGAATACATTAAATAAAATAATTTCAATTTTGCTCAAAATCTGATTGTAACTGGGATATCAAGCTATTTTGATCCAAAGATAATTGAACGATCGGCTGGAAACATTTATTACTTTATGAATATTTTATGAAAATTAAATCAATTGAATAATGTAATAATGCCTAGAGTGGTAATTTTTTTATGTTAAATTAATAAAACATAATCGAAAACATTGTAAATAATTTGTTAATTTTTAAAAATTGCATACAATTTCCCAAGTATTTTTATGCATGTTGTTGAGCAACATACGTCTTTTACATAGAGTTTTGCTTAAAAATCCATAAAATTTCTATTGGAATTATAAATTTTTAAATTTTTAATATTTCAAATGTTTTTATTCATACGTCACGCGTGTACCTCTGAAGAATAATATTGTCTCGTCGTTATCCCGTTTTCAGACCTGGGCGACATGAAAGCATTGGATTTGCATACACAGAACGCCGCGCCGCTGGTGGGCCAACGAGATGGCAGAGCAATAGTGTAGTATGAAATTGAAGTAAAAGAAGACTAATCGCGTGCACGCATTGTACATACTTAACGGGTCGTCCTACTCGTCCTTTTACGGTAAAAACGAATTAATCAATGATGTATTCGGTGTAATGCGAAACCTAAATTTTAATGGTGAAATGTAGGTAATAAGATTGTGACTGACGACGGCGGCGGCGGTGACGAAGACGACGTTGACCGAACACTGTCAACCCGTAGTGGTTCTGAATCCTGTCGACCTTGCATCGTCCAAATTCACAAGCACAAAATAATCGTAACATTAACCATAACACGTACATAACATTATATGGGCCGCGTGTATCAACGGCGATATTATATTATTTTCGTATTGCATGCAAACGCCGGCAGTGCGCACCTGGGCCGCCCAGTCTGAACGCTGTATTATCCTACAGATCACTTTCACCTCTCGCGATATTGGACCAAGAGCTTTAGCACAGTTAGTGCACGCCACTTGTCGCCACCGCCCGGCATATCAACGGAGAACGCATTATTAAACACAATATCCATCCGAACTGTGATATATGAATTTTTTTTCTTTTTTACACGTAAGTATAAACAGCATTTTTATATTATTTTTAGTCATACTATACTGCCTATGCGTCATATTCGTAAAGGCATAAGCCCCGGTTAAGTTCTGTACGTGGTACGTTTTTAATAATAATATAAAATCTATCAATGTTATGCTTTACTAACAAGTATATAATATATCGTGAACCGTGATTGACAATCGTCTCGACGTACCTGCCTAGCTTACCTGCTTATTTTTTTCTGTTGAAAAATGTTGATTGTCGTGTAATAAAAAAAATGGTTTTGTATTAAAAACGACATCAATGAAAACTTTTAATTTCTTTTAACAAAAATATCAAGTCTAATAAATATATTTATGTACTATGCACCTATTGCATCTATTATGGTTATTTCCCAACGTTATTCAAATAAATAAAAATATTTTGGTTCCACGTCGCTTTTTTTTATTTTTAATACATTTTTACTGTTAATAAAAAATAAGAAAATTTTAAATTATAATTTGGCACGCATACCTAAATAAATGTATAGAATTTTAATGCTCTCAAAATTAAAAGTGTATAGAACAAATAACAACATTTTTCATTTAAAATACTAATTTCTTAATTATACAGTACGATTTTCTTTTATTATCAATTTTACGAAACTCTGAAAACAGTACATTTTGTTTTGCTACTTTTGACATTGCTGTATAATTTACGTAAACAATATAATTGATTTAGAATCCATAAAATATTAATCTTTTTGTAAATAGTTTTATAGGATAGGTTAGTTTTTTTTCAATATAATTTTATCATTAAAATATCTTTATTTTAAGTATCTATTTTTAAAATTAAATCTTCTTAGTAATTATTTAAAAAAATGATATCAATTACCCACTTAATCATTAAACAAGCATATAAATTAGTATAGACATGATCAATTAAGAATAAAAACTACAATGAATAATATAATATTTCACGGCCATAATTAAACACTACGTCAAATTTGTATTATTTTAAGTAAAAATGAAAATTAATTTAACATTACTAAGACTATTAATTTAGTTTTAGTGAGTAATTAAACTATCCTTTTAATTTTCTCAATAATTATAGTAAAGGATAATGGTAAGAAGAATATCAAATTAATTCATTTTAAAAAGGGAAAAACAGTGATCATTGAGATAACGAAATGATTATTAAATTATTGTAAAAATTGAAGATAAACAAAGATATTTACTTTACGTTTCATTTATATTTACAAAAATATTAATAGGTAGTTAACTATTTCTTTTTTGCTTTTTATTATTTTAGAGATTTAAAAATTGAGTAATTATTAGTAATATTTGTTTTATAATTAATGCAAAAATATTATATTTAATTTTAAAATAATTTATAAAATAACAAGCTTTATTTAAAATGTATTTTAAACAATTTTTGTATTATTTATTAGTTATTAGTGCATAATATACCTTTACTCGTTAATATATATAATTAGGTTTACTATTTTAGATGAGATAGTCAATTTTGTCCAAGGTTATAACTAATAATATCCTTAAAAAATACTAGAACTAGAACTCGATTACATTGATAGCATTTTAATGTTCATATTATACATCATGTACAAACAATAATAATCATCTATGTAATAATCAATTAATTTAAAACACTTACCTGCATTTCTGAAAGCCCTTAAATGGACTAATCAATTAATAACCTTAAAAAGTATCTAATTAAATAATAGTAAAAGTACATTATTATATGTGCCATAAATATTAAACCTATATGTATTAGAGAAAATGTTTTATTATAGCTTTTATTGACATAAAAAAATAATATCTTTAGTGCTTATTACTTATATAAACATTACTTAATTGTTAACCGTTTTAAAATTAATAAGTAAATATTATCACTTATAAAAGTACCATTTTATTATAAGTATTGAATAAATATAATTATTTAATTGAATATATTCTTATGTACTTCATATAAGATTTAATTTTACGAGAAGTCTATTCTATTAATCAAAACTATTGATTAAATTAGTTAATATTGGAAAATTTTATAAAATTTATAAAATTTAATGAATTAAATTGCCTCGAATAAATACGTAAAATATCAACAAATTAAATAATAATGTAATAATATATATATATTTTAAATTAGTTTGCGTAATATAAGTGTATTTAATAATCCGGTTTTTAAGTATTACAAATTATCCTAATCTAGGTCTTAACTCTTAAATGGTTTTTTAGTATCTACCTAAAAAAATATTTATCCTTATTTGTATGTATATTAAAATTATATAGTGAAAAAATTATCAATAGTCATATAAATAAGGATGAAACGTTTAAAAAATATATATGACTTATTGTGAAATAGTAATGAAATAATATTATGTTACGCACGTAAACTGTGTCTAACATAAAGATGGGTGACTCAAAATGAAATTCGTATTTACTGTATGTGGACTTGATTTATCTTAGATTTTTCACAAGTTAGTCCAACAATTTAATAAAAATAGAAGTAAATAGTTACGACAAACTAAAAACATTTATTGCATAATGATATTAATTATAAGTATTAGATAACGTAGTCTGAATAATTTATTCACTCAATAAATCTATATTTTTAAACAAATACAATATTTTGAACGTTATTAGTATCTAACTACATTAAACGATCATGATTGCAATTTTAATTATATGAATAAATTTATTCTCTAAGTCGTAGGTACCGTAACTGACATATTATTATACTAACTAAATAAAAGTTAGATTTTTGAATATCATCTAGTTAAAATTGTGTTATTATTAATACCTATTTCAACGATTGGGTAGTTTTTCCCCTCTGCTGAATAGTTTTGTGAAAGTGGACCAGTAGACCAGTTGATGTTGTTCGTTATTTTTCTGTTTGATTCAGATTAGGTAAATAAGCAGTTAACAGCTGTGAAGACTGCTTTAATATTATTCTAGTTTATCTAAGCTTAAAGTGATTTTATTGACGATTAAAATTTAAACATTGATATACATAGTATATGTAAGGCGTGTATTTTCGAGCGTGAAAATAATATGTAGGCATGAGTTGCAATTATAAACAAAATAAATGTCTTGATAAATATTTGTTTATAAAATAATATAAAATTAAAATTAATTATAAAACGGCTCTAATAACAGTTAAGTAGGTTCACATTTTCATGTTTAATTCAATTTTTAAATGTTGCATAAAAACACGTGATTCATGTCACTAATAACTTATGAATTGTACACAGTACACAGTATACATATTTCATATATTGCATTTACCTTATATATATCTATTACAAAACTTTAATAAGATACTTTATTACTGTTATTTGTATTCTTATTCATCACGATTTTCGCATTGTACAAATAATATTATGTATACCTAACACTAACATTGCATTAGTTTATGTTAAGCGAGAATATTTATATTATTTAATAAAATTACATTTTTGGTATTTCATAACACTCATTACGCCTGCATAGTAACTAAATATATGCGTACTATTTTCACTAACAGAACTATTATTGACTAAAAAGTATAACATATTTTATATTATTGTGTGATACTTATATGATGTGTGCATTTCATTTTTTTTAACATCTCTTCCATAATATAGTTCACTTAACGTTATTTTATGTTCTTGAACCAAAGAAGACAGAACTATGATTAGTTAATATATAAACTAAAACACTATACACGTGACTAAAACGCAAGTCATTTATGCAAATGCTCTGTTAATAATATCATTATTATTGCTGACGTCATTTCATAGTGATCACTTAGACGCTCGTTACATGACAATATAATTTTCCACAAAAATATGATTCAAAATTTAAATATAACATAAATTAATTGCAATATAACTAAACTCAAATAAAATCGGAGTACACACTTACTTTACTTACCTATACTTATACTTATTACCAAAAAAAGTATTTGTCAGATGATTTTCTTTCTTTATTAGCATATAAATATTGATTTTTAATGTTAAACTTAATGCACATTAGAGATAGATTTATTTTATAGTTGATGTATGAGTGACATCAATAATTGATATAATATGATCCATTTTATACAGTATAATTGTTGTAGAACAATGCAATATAGCTGTTTACGCATCGTTAAAACTTGTCACTTGAAATCTCTTGAATTTCCGTCTCATTTATATCTTTACCATTTTATTTTACTTTCTGTTCAGTGTTCATAGTAAAAATCGTCTTTGAGAATAAATACTACATAGTATCATTTTTGTTTTATAAAACATAAATTTTAAGTATCTAAGTGTCTTAAACATTTATAGCTTTTATAAGAGTCTATTATAAAAATAGCTTGTGAACAATTGTCGTGATAAAATCTTAAATAATGTATGTGTAATACTATTGTATTTTTTCAATATTTTTGTGATTTAATTTTGCCTACTACTAAATAGTAGATATAATACTGGAATTAATCTATTTTAATTTTTTTACGCTATAAATTATAATATTAAAATATAATATGTCCTTTACAATATTTGAAAGAATGGATTCTTAGAACTAGTAAGTTTTTAATTGAACCAAATAATTATTGTGATATTTAAACATTATCATTTTACGACAGATAGTAAAAGTAGGAACTTTTATTATTTAAATACACTTTAATTATGAAATAAAAATCATTGAAACATAATAGGTAATAATATAATATAATTTAAACATTATTATTATTAATTCACTAATCAACTATATTATAATAGTCACGAATTCATGATTGCCGACAGGTGAATACGATTTTGTGATACGATGCCGATCAATAAATTTCAAAATTCAGATAGTTTTCATAACGTAAAATATTTTATTATTTTCTGGTGGAATAACGATAAAATAAAATGTCTCGTTTAGTTAATAATAATAATAACACATTACACAAATATGTAAATTTTTATAAATCAATATAACATTTAGTGGTGTGATGTCATAATATATTATGTTACACTCGGACACACGGTTGTACCAATAGATGAGTACAATAATGTACGTATTAATGCGGACGTGCCCAATACAAAGAATAACGCACGAAACGACAATACTGTCACAGTAATTAATACCTAATGGTAAAGTGACAACTGTTAAAGTTCCGCTGTAATAAAATAATACATTATAGTCACTGAATTCCTTAGTAAGTCGCCTGTAAGTATCTACCCGCTCATAAAAGTTAAACCCATGTGCGCGCATACGTCTGGAAAGTCTGTGACATAAAAAAATAGTATTGTCGCGACGTCAGTAACGCTATGCGTGCGCGAAAACTATTTCAAAATTAACAAACTATTATATTATTATTTGTCAAACGGGTGAGGTTTCTTTGCGAGACCAGTCAAACCCGATTGCCGGTTTTATATTTGCCGAGAGATGTCCATACGTACTTATGTAATATGGTTTGCGAAGGATTTTTCAACCTCTCTCGAAAAATAAAAAAATTAATATGACATATAATATGTATAATATCGAGAACACCGCCTCGGGCGTTCCACTGCAGACCGCTCTACATTCATACTATAAGCCTACCCACGTGTATACGCACGCACTAATGACAACTTTTATTTTTTATTTCCAAGGGCGCCAACGCAAAAATGTACCTGTATTGCTCGACATAACACATGAAAGAATTGTGAACGAAAAGTGAAAGAAAATTAAAAAAAAAAAAAAAAATAAAGGTTTGTATAATATAATATAATATGTGTGATATATACATTATACATGCTCAGAAATATTGTTCTATCATTACATTATTATCGTTAGTATTTAGTGTAGATAAATGACTAGGTACCTATACTCAAGTGTCGAGTGTTTCAAGAAGGTCGATTTATGAATTATCGGCACACGATCGGAAGGTCGGCTTGAGCCGATGGACTGTCGAAAGCCCTCATATAACCATATTGGTTATACATCAATATAGATTTTTATTTTTTTTTTCAGATGGCTGAAGGACCAAGATTGTCCGTTTTACTTATCGTGTTCCTCGCTATCAACTCGGCATATTCCGGTAAATCAACTTCCGTTTTAGTTTTTTTCTTTTGGAATTATTATTCATGATGTTTTGAAAAGTCGTCAAGTTAGGAAATTACAATGGATAGGTATTATCAAACGATACGAATTATTTAAACAGTTATTTTTCACGATTTTAATTTATTGTTTAAATACTATAATTTACGTAAGTTAATACAAATCAAGTATTTAAAAATTGATTAGATTCCAAACAAAAATGAGATCTACTTAGAGCAACTTTTAAACATATTATGAATAATACAGTTCCATTTTGTTTTTTTAATATTAACTTAGGTGCCCCCAAAAGGCAATTATTCATTTATACGATCGAAATTAATTAATAAAGGGTACTTAAAATCGCATAACAATTAATATGTACCAACCTACGTTGATTCGTTTTATAAAATATTTGATTTAGATTGTTCTTATTCGTACAAACATCTGAATTTATGATTTTAGAAGGCACACAAAAATGCGAGAATACGCCTATGAAACAAATCATTTGCGAGTTCGGAACCGCCAAAGAAATACCCAACTTCGACGCTTGTCTGTGTACACACATCGCAGTTCCGGTTAGCTTGGAATCAGAAAAGGACGACGAAACTTCGGGTAAATATAGAGTAATATGATAAAATTATCGATTATGTGATATCCGCATGAACCGCTCATTTACTTTTACATCATCCATCGTGTGTAAGACTTGACGCCGACGATCAAATCATACAAGCAAACCAATGGCGATCTCAAGTCGTTGGCTGCCATTTCCATGTACGCGGAAGACGTTGCAAAGAAGACAAACCAGATTTGCAATGAAATCGTTGACGCGTTGACTCACTACGATGGCGTACAATTGGATCTAAGGCAATCCGATGTATCCGTAGATAAATCACTCGTTGTGCATTTCTTCAAGGTGAGCTGGTCAATACAAAATATGGCACACCTTACTAATGTTCCGAGCATTCTAGCAAAATTATACCACAGTTTATACCATCATAACTGCGTACACACTGTTATTATTATTATTATTGTTATTATGCGTTTAGGTGGTATTACACGGACGATAATTACCGTCTAAACACGATCGTTTCCTTTTTTTTTTTTTTTTTTTTTAATAGTATTACTATGACGGTCCGTTTTGTGTTTCACATGAGTATAATATGATCACATAATAGATAACTAATATGGTAGCCTTAAACTTGAATTCAACACCACTGTGATGTAATAGTTACAACTTGACGTCCGACCTAATAATAGACATGTTAATTTGACCGTTTACTGACAGCAAAAGATAAATAATTATATCTAGTCCTACGCACACAAGCGACGTTGGATATAATGTTCGTCATTTTTACGCAATGTCGAGAAGTTCAAGGTTACAATAGGAACCGGTCATTCATAATAATAAATAATTTAATACGAAACCAAAACCGAAACGTGAACACTCCGATTGACTGGTGTAATGGAATAGCAGTTATTTCTAGTATGCCCACTGAAGGTATATTATATATGATCGATGTATACAAAGTCATCATATATTGACGAAAGTGCATATTTTCTTTGTAGCGGAAATAATTAATATATTGATCAAGCTAATATTTTTCATCAAAAATATACTTTGGTTCTACCTATAGACCTGCCTATCTATATTAATTAAAATATTTATTTAGATTTAAAAAATAAAACATAAAACGATATGAATGAATATTATTATTTATTACTGCATGCTAGAAATCGAAATTTATAAACTACAATTTTTATTTTATTTTTTATTATTATTTGGATTTGCTTGCTGTTCTTAATTTATATTACATTCTTTTGAATTACGTTTACACCTACTCATTTATTAACAATTTAAAGTTATCATTTTTTTTAGAAATTATCGTCTGAAATTGAAAATAAATTCAAAATAGAATCAACAAATAACTCTTCACAAATATTTAAAAATCCGAAAGAAATCCAACTGGTGCTTCCTCCAAACGCTGCCATACTGACAAAATTTTATGATCTCAAAAAACTTTCCAAGTAAGACAGACAGTAATTTAAACAAGCTCCAAATAAAATGCTATATGTTTTAAAATTTTAGGTATGTAAATTATTTTATAATTGCTACGCATAATCTTGTGGACAATTCTGAACAAGGTTATTCATATCACCCAAGTCGTCTTATGGGAGCCGATGATTTACTCAATGCTGTAAGGAATGTGTAAAATTGACAAATGCATACAATGATTAATTCACAAGTTATTAAACATTTTAGGATTCCTTAATTGATCTTGTAATTGGACTTGGTGTTGACCATTCGTCAATACTTTTATCATTGCCTTCTACTGCAAGTAAGTTTGAGCTCAAGGATCCCACCCGGAATACTCCTCGATCACCAGTAATTGGATTACCAACAACAATTACGCGCCAAAAAGTAAATGAAAATTACAATAATTACGGGAGTGTTTGGTTACAATTGTCACACAAAACAATTATAAAACTAAATTTTTCATAAAAATGTTATTAAATTTAGGTTCAACATTAAATGTATAATTACCAAATAATTTAAAAATCAAACATACCAATTTCATCGCTGTATTATTTTTGTCTATTACTTAAGTTTATTTTATTTAATTTTTTTTGTTTTATTTTTACTCTTAAAATAGTTTAACAGACTTAAGCTTAATATTGAAAAAATAAAAAATATATACATAGATACATTTTACCCAACCACTGCTGTTACAATTATTTACACATATTTATAAATTTAATGTTCTATGATTTTTGATCGTTAAATGATATTAGTAAAATCAAATGTATTAAAAGTTATAAATTGTAACCTTAAATAAAGTCAGAAATTTGTTATATGATAAAAATGCAATTTCACTCTGTCTTCTTTCATTCAACTAAGCATAATGTAAATATTTGACATGTTTTAGATGTGTGAAGAAATGAAAGAAGGTAATTGGACCATCGAAAGAGATGAAGATTTAACAGCACCGTATGCGTTCATGAATCAAACATGGATGTCATTCGACGATAGCGTCAGCGTTTCAATCAAGGCACGCATTATATTAATCTTTAAAAATATTAATGAGTTAAAATTTAAATATTTTTTTTATATTGTAGGGCAAATATATATTGTTACGAGATTTAGCTGGAGCAGTTATTACTGACGTCGAAGCATTGGACTGGAAATTAACATGCTTAAACCAAACAGCAGTAGAACCTTTAAAAGAACTTACAAAAACTTTTACTGAAACTGCAAGGAAATCTAGATCAGCTCAATTATTAAGTTTACAAGAACAATTACAACGGCCGGCTGATCAAGGATTCTATTTTAACAGTACTGCTATAAAATACTATTTAACCTAATAATAAACATATGCTTACTAATGAATTTTATATTAGATGAAATAAGTTATTCGCCATATTATATTGAGAGGGTCGTTACTAGGGACGGCGAAGTTCATGCAATTCGTAAAGATACAAAAACTGAATTTGAATGTTCGCGGCAAGGGTACTTTAGACATCCAAGTGGTTGTAATCGATTTTATCGTTGTGTAAAATTCGATCAAAAATCCAACTATTTTACGGTCTATGAATATGATTGTCCAGATGGTTTGGCATTTGATGAAAAAGTTGAGGTTTGCGTATGGCCTGGATCTTTATCTAATACAGGAGCTTGTCAAGGTAAATATTCTTACAAAGTTCAATGATATTATTTAAATTTGGATGGTTTTTCTATATATGTTTATATGTTTTATAATTTTAAACGTATGAAGATCAATATAGTTGTTTATGTATTGTTTTTAGGTTCAAGTGAAATAGCTCCAGTTCCTCGGAATCAATTTGTCTGTCCACCAACAGAAGGTTATTACGCTGATCCTGAAAACTGTCGGTGGTTTTTCGCTTGTCTTGATCATGCTAAAGATGGCTATACTCCACTTACAGCATACGAATTTAGATGTCCATTTGGATTAGTGTTTGACGAAAAAACATTAAAATGTGACTGGCTTTGGAAAGTGGGATCTTGTGGTTAGTCCAAATAATATTATTTGCATTATTTGTATTATTATTATTACTATTCCATCCTAATATTAATGTTTTATTTTACTTTAGGAATCTCAGGAAAATCATATCATAATTACGGAGAACAATCTTACCAAACAAACCAATTCAACACATTTTACGGAAAAGAATCATCTATTCCTTACTACGGAAACGAACCATCTATTCCTTACTACGGAAAGGAACCATCCATTCCTTACTACGGAAAGTATAATCAAGATCAACCTCAATTTTCATTTGATTCCACTGATACTTATATAGCACCGAGTAAATTCGATTTCCCATATTCTACAACTAGCAAACCTCATTTATTGTATGGATCTACAGAAAATTATGTTACGCCAAGTGCACCTCGGTTTTTATACAGTTCAGCACAATCTTACGCACCACCAAATAGCCCTCAAATTGCATATGGTTCATCAGAAACGTATGTTGACCATAGTAAACCTCAATCATTATATGGATTAACTGGAACCTACGCTTCCACAAAAAGTCCAGAATTTTCATATGGATCTACGGAATCATTTTCCACTACAAGTAAACCACAAATATATTCTAGTCCAAATGTAGGATATTCCAGCACAACCAAACCGCATTTCTTGTTTGAATCTTCAGAATCTTATTCTACTACAAGCAAACCTCAACTCTTTTACAAATCTTCAGAATCGTACTCAACAACAAACCGACCTCAATTCTCGTTTGGCTCTACAGAATCATATTCCACCACAAGCAAACCTCAATTCTCTTATGGACTTTCAGAATCTTATTCTACTACAAGCAAACCTCAATTCTCTTTTGGCCCTTCAGAATCATATTCTACCACAATTAAACCTCAATTCTCTTATGGATCTTCAGAGTCTTATTCTACTACAATTAAACCACAATTCCCATACATTAAAACAGATACTTATGAAAATCCAAATTATCAAAGTAGATTACCTAACTTTGACTTGAATAATTATAGACAATTTGGTGTACTGTATCATCAACAGCGCGGTTCTGAAGTTGAACCACAACATCACACTGGAATTCTTCTTCACCAACAAAATAATTTCCAAAGTATACCAGTAAATAAAAACTACGATTCTCATAAAAATGATGTTCAATATCCACCAATAAAAGATTTTGAAACATATTCTACAACACAAAGACCTTTAAATAAAATACCCAGTTCCAGGCTCTACTCAGAAAGTTCTTTTTCTTCTAATGCTTACTCAAACCCATCAATACCTTTTGAAAATAATGCGTACAAAAATTCTTACTCTATTTTGGGAGGAGTAAATGGATACGATTCCCACAAAGTTAACGAACAATATCAACCTTCATATAACTTTGAAACATATTCAACCACTCTAAAACCCATTGCTAAATTGCCTGATTTACCAAATTACTCAGAATCAAATATTTATTTAAAGCCTACTTCTAAACCATTTGAAGAATATTTGCAAGACATTTCTCATTCAAAATTAAGTGATGAATCCAAATTGCAATATTCTACAAGTAGTTCACCATATTTATCTTCGTCTCCAAGTATTGACATCGATTACCATATTTCTTCAACTACACAAAAACCAACATTACACGACACTAGCTTGCATAAAGAAAAGTTTAAGACTCAATTTAATTTTGAAGATTATCTATCAAGGCTTTCTAGTCACCAATATCCATCTACTACTTCTGTGGTTGATTATACGCCGTCTATTCGTGGAAATAGCTATGATAATAACTTTGCACAAACTTTTTCTACGTATTCATCCACCACTCCAAAACCATCTGTAGTATACTATAGTTCACCGTCGTCAATATTACCAAAAGTGAAAGAATACTCTGAGAGTTATGGTTCATCGTTATCATATCCCGTAACTACTGAAAAATCAGTAGATTACAATTTACCTATTTCTTCAACGTATGCTCCATCAGCGTACAGTCCTTCAGTTAATCCTAGCGTATACACACCAACATTCAAACCAACGGTTGACTATTACACTCCATCGTCTACAGTTGCTAATGATGATTCTGTTTTTGTTGAAGAACTCATTTCAAAATTGTCAAAAACTCCAATTTCAAATACATATTCAACTAGTACTCCTAAACCAAAATACGACAATTATTATTCATCACTACAAGCTGGAGATTATATACCAAATGATTCTTTCAATATTGACGAATACGTATCAAAACTATCTGAATCTATTGAGAATTCTACACCAAAATCATTATACTCGAGCACTTCTCAAAAACCATATGTTGTACCATACAGTTCAAATGACTACTCATCTCGACCACTACCCACTTCAGTTTACTTATCTTCAACTGAAGAGCCTAAGACATTTGATCATGAATCATATTCGGCACTTCCTGTTCAATCAACGACGTGTAAGCCTGAAGCTTCAATAAAAATAACGTCCCCTAAGGTACCATACATTCCATCACTCGAATCTGTCTTTAGTGTAAGACCTCCTTCTACATACACACAAAGACCAGAACCATTGATTGGCTATTCAAGCACGGCTTCTGACTTGATAAATTATTATTATAATATTCATTCATCTTTAGATTCTGCTTATCGTTCACCATTGCCTAGATATTATGCTGCTCCAATGGGAAATTCACTTTACACAAGTAATTACACATTACCCAGAGAATATGAGAAAGACGGTGGGCATCATTTGCATGCAGCTTATCCAGCGTACCCTCTGAAACCAATAATTGTGGAACCAGTTAGTCCAGAACTGAATGCAGAGTTTGAACGATACTATACAGCTGAGATACGACAAAACTTGAAGAGCGAAGAAAACGGAAAAGTGCTCGTAGTCGGTGACAATAGTCCTCTAATTGTAGGTAAATTGGGAGCTCAGTGCGACTGTGCGAAAAAGAAGAAGCCTACGATTGTATCAACAACGACCAGGACTGTAATCGAACACGACGAAGACGATGACGATGAAAAAACATCGGTCGTAAAGGAAGTAGAAACAAAGACCAAAGTAGTATTGGACGAAGTAAAAAAACCCTCAAATAAAAAATTATGTACCCGAGCAGGGTTATTTAGAGATCCGAAACAGTGTAATAAATTCTACTCGTGTAACTGGGACAAGTGGACACAAAATTATGAACTTAGTGAGTTTAAATGTCCAATTCACCTTGCTTTTGACGAAAATCTAAGCGCTTGTAACTGGCCGTCTAAAGGACCGGCGTGCTCACACGATACGCTCATTAATTACTCAAACTAATATTAAATGAAATCGAAGAAACTCAAAAATGCACATAAATTTTCATATGAAACACGTTTCAGTGTTTTCAAAAAACAATATTAACATGTAAACAATGTACACATATATATATATATTTTTTAAGTTATGATAATTGTTCTTGTAGTGTAGGTATTTTCATACATGTTATGAGAAGTACAATAACTTATGTATTTAAATAAGTTAGAAGGTAGGTAGGTATAACAAGCCAATAAAAAGGTTTGATGTATTGAGTTGATTTATTTCCAAATTATCACGCGAGTATACAGTGTACATTTTGTAGTTTTAAATTACAAAATAGTACCTATCTACTTATTCAAATACAGTGTAATATGTTACAATGTGTTATACACGTATTTAAATACCTACCTATGTACCTACCTAATATAGATTAAATACGCTCTACCTACTATAATACTAAACTTTACATTAATCTGTTTTTATTATTTAGTAGGTAGTTGATAAAATACAGTTCTCGAAGGGAAAAGTACCTTAAACTGTTTTGTGTTATTTTCTAAATATTACATATATAATTTAATTGTACACATTTACCGTCAGACTAGCAACAAAAATTATGCAATAACGTTGGAAAGGTTACAATAAACAACCTTATTATTGTTTTTTTTTTTTTAATTTTACAAGTGCAGAAGTAAATCAAAATATTTGTAGATATAAAGTTTAAAATATATAAATAATAAATATTTTATTTTACTTCAATTTATTATTATGTTATATTATGAATTATTATAATATAAATTATGTGTAAATAATAAATAATTTTATCAGCAATAATTATTATTTTTTTTTTTTTCATATACATATGAAAACTTTGTTTTTAATGTGAGCAGCTATAAAAATATACATCTCAATTTTTTCTTGGCCAATATTTTCTGACTGAATTTGTGTAACGGCGTCATCGCCTAATTATTATATGTTGATGTAAATAAAAAATTTCATATATTTTTATTATTTTATTATAAATAGAGACCCGAAAAAACATATCCATGACTTAATTTATTTCCACGAAATTTAGAAAATATACGTTTATATTTTTTTATATTTATGTGATTTCTGAGTATTGAATTACATAATATAAATCTAAACTACTAAATAATGTTGATGACCTATGTACATTTTATACATTGTTTGAACTACATTTATTTCTATCAATTAGATTTATTTCGTTCTTTATTTTACTTGATTTTCTCTTGTTTTTTAGATTCTGAGTGGAGCTAATAATTCTCTAAATAAGGTACTCACTTAATTACTTATAAATTTTTATTATTGAAATGTATCCACAAATATATTTTTATATGAATGATTGAAGTTTAAATTTTGACAACATTGGATATTTACGCATAAAATTACAAATTTTCTTCAAACAATTTTTGTTTTTGTAATTCAAAAAAGTATTGATCATATAAACTTCATACATTTTACAGTAAATATAGTTAAGAGGTACTTACATCATACATGATGACATTTTTAAAATATTTAAATTAATTTTAAGCTATATAAATTTTGAATCTTAGAACTCATATAATTTTACAGTACATTTATAATAGGTATTGACTTACATTTTAATAATAGCAAACTTACTATATTATATTTGTGATTTATTTTAGTTACTATTTTCATATATCTTATTACTTATAGGCTACAGCAATATATTTTATAATATGCCTTAAGGTATATGTTGTTAGCAGGGCGCCCATAGGTAATATGGGGTCAAAATAAAAAAATTTTCGAATGTAAGATAATAAAGATTTAATGTTATTTTTCACATATAAATGTATAGACTATACATGCATGTTTTATTTGTATATATATATATATAGTGTATTAATAATAATTGCCATACGAATAAATAAATAAATAAATAATAATTTTAATAAATATATAAAAAAAATAGAAATTAAATAATATAATTAAATATACTATTCGATATCAGTAAATAAGAACTGTACATTTCTTCGTTTTATTCCAAACATATTAATGACATCCTGAATGAAAGTATCCTTGTTTGCGTTAGGTTAAAATATTTGTAGTACCTATATTGTGTTTGTCATAGATTTACCACAAATTATCTGCGATAAATTATTTTACGTATAGGTTATACGGACTACAGAATATGACTTATCTATGATGTTAATATACGATAACAATGAGTATATTTTTATATTTATTTCATATCTTAAAAGTGATTTCAACAAATAATTTGCCTCGGTAATAAGGTAATATTGTGGTAATATTTTTTTCCAGGGGTGGGGGGAAGTGCCCTGTCATGCCCCCCCCCCCAATGGGCGCCCATGGTTGTTAGAATGTCTCCAATCAAACATTTGTTTTGTTAAATTGTATATCATTGTAATCAAATTTAATACATCCACTATAGAAACTTAATCAATGACAAGATACTATCTATAGGATCTATACTTCAAGCAACTTCTTCCTTTTTTTAAATTGAATCTAGTAAGGTAATAATAAAAATTCATAGCAAATGTTAAAAAATATCATACAAATAAGCGGTTCTCAAAGTGCGCGCCACGGTGCCTTAATGCACAGTAGTATCTTTACAAGTGTGCCGCACTGTGCAGTAATATGCAAGCTCATCTATCTCATTGATGTAATATGTATTAATAAATGTAATCCTAAATCTTAAGAGACTCAATAAATATGTATAAATTAAGTATAAATATAATTAAATAAACATTTTCATATTACCTGTTACAATTTTTGATGGTTTTTATTAATTTTTTTTCTTCTAATAATTAGAAAAAAGCTCCCTGAGAAAATCTTAATTCAAAAAGAGCGCTATAAGTCAAAAAAGTTTGGGAACCGCTGATATACATGATACTTAGTACACCTACCATTGAAATAATATATTAATACATTACTAATTATAAATAATAATCATAATTCATGTTACAAATTACAGTTACTTACTTCTAATTTAATTAATTAAAATAGAACTGTAAATAAAGAGTGAAATATTTTAAACTTTAAAAACATAAACTAAATTATAATCATCAGTAAAAAAAATCAAATGCATATCATTTTAAATTTGTTGACATTTATATATTAATTATCAATAAAAGTATTGATTTCAATAATACACGTTAATGGTAATTACTCAAAATGAAAAAAATAATACAATACAATTTTTTATTTTCATAAGCTACTACTCTTCTTGTTATGAATAAATACATTAAAAGCATGGTAAGGAACCAAATTTGACTAATAATTGCTAACTTATATGTTATAAGAGGCAATTTTAAATTTACAAATATGATTTTAAATTAATTATATTAGTAAATAATGAATAAATAAATCTCTTAACATTTTCAATTGTTAAATAAACTTAATTGATTAAAGAATACTATATTGAATAATTTAACATAAAAATTGAAGTACAATATAAACAAAATCTAACTGAATTTTAAAGCAAAGACAAAAATACACAAACACGAGAAGAAACTCAGCAAAATAATAAGATATATTTTATAACAATAATAATAAATTATTTACATGTTTAATACTGAACAAAATTATACAAATGGGTGTCTCATAACTATCTTAGTGTATACTGGTTATTAACTGCTCTTACAACATTGCCTAATCCTGGTTCAGGTGTTGACCGATTAGTAAAGTCTGTCTGCAAGTCTTTTGTTTTCGTTCTAATAGGAGCTAACATTGTCTTAAACTATAAAAATATAATTTTTAATAATAATTAGTTATGTTAAAACATTTATATCAAGATGTATATATACTTCTCTATATAGTTGAGGTGCTGTAGGTCGAAGTCCATGATCAATACTCTGAGGTATTGGGGCATTTGGATCACGAGTAATAACAATAAAATCAACACTGCTATTACTTGGAAACACGCCATATTTAATAGGAGTATTTACTATATAATCTCTGAGAGTTACATCACCAGGCCCACCATTCTCCAAAGGTATTAAATGTGTTTGAAAATGTTCAAGCATATCTTGTATACTAGTAAATGATAGATGTTGTACTCGACAGTGTCCTTGATCATTTAGTGTCATTCGCAAGTGCTAAGTAAAAAATTTATCATGTATTTTTACAATTTCTAATATATAAATGTGAAATGTATGTTGAAAGTTAATTGTATAGAAAAATTTATTATCATGTTATAGTTCACTCTACTGCAAAATATGTTCTAACAACAGCTAACGTACTAAAACTGCATTCTATAGCATCGGAAAAATTTTAATTTAATTATTCATATGTAGGTACAATTGAACTCTCATTTTATCTTTAGAATTAAGAAAAAAAAATTAATTTAACTAACCAAATTAAAAGAAAACAAAATAATTTTTATTATATATTTAAAAAAAACAAATTAAATTATTATTATTACGTTGTTAGAATCCATATTGCATTCATAATATCACTAATAGAGCGCTATAAGGCTTGATAGTTGGAATATTATATCTACATTTTAATAATACCTTTGGTTTTCCTTTAAAATTAAATGTCAACACATATTCACCCTTTCGGGTTTCAGATTGTCTGACTAGAAACATTCCATGTCCATTAGCGCCCAAGTGTGACACCAAATTAGTAGCATCAGATCGAGCTAACATACCATGAAACCATGGATAAAGGCGAAGAGATGCTGATATATCATTTTCTTTAACAAAAAAAAGTCAATAGTAAAATACATTACTTATACACAAATTAGTAATTTGTTACAACTATTATCATTCTAATTGATACTTACCAATATCATTATTTGCAATAATATCCAAATTATTGGTAGAATTCTGAGGTGAACTTAATGTTTCATTTGAATGTACAGCTGATGAATCTAACACACCATCAATACTGCCAATAATACTATATAAAAAAATTTTATAAATTTCAATCATTGCTTATAAATTATTAAGAAAACAAATATATTCATATCATAATTTATTATCACCTTATATCATCATGTAAACCATCACGTTTACGCATACAATATTTTACAGTTGCAAGCCACTGACGCATTTCTTCAGGACTTAAGGCGTCAATTATATATTCAACATTGTTTTCGTCCTAAATAAACATACACAAGAATGAATAATTTACAAGTAATTTAAAACAAATCAAATAATTAGTTATATATAACATTATATTATATAACACAGTAATACTTATAAATTATAATGCTTAGATAATTACTTTCAATACAAATGTATTAGCATATCGTTCAGGCATTTCAATTTCTTTGGTTTCTCTAGCATCTTGAATCAAAAAACAAAACACTCCATGTTTTGATTTCAAAGACTAAAATTTAAATACACACATAGTTAATAATTTTACAAATAATATTGATTACATAGTATCAGTAGCATACCAAAGTAGACTTTTTTGAGGCAATTGCCTCAAGATCAAAATGGGTGGGTGGTTGAATGGATTATAAACTCAGACTATGGATTTAGTGCAATAAAATTTTATTAATATTTATATTTTGAAGTAAAAAAAAAACTAAAATAGTAATTTGCCTCAGATCTATAAATTGTTCAGCTAACTACTGCATAGTATGTATATCAGTGTTTACCAACTGTCAGGACCAGATTTAGGGGGGGGAGGGCACAAGGCCCTAAAATTTAATTAATAAGAGGGTTCCACAAAACAAGTACCCTAAGCAGTAAGT